CACACACACACACACACACACACACACACACACACACACACACACACCCCTTAGATTCATTTAAATGACTCATCTCTATAGGATCAACTGATTTTAATTTTGGAAAATTCCTATTTTCTGTGACCTCATATTGCATTAATTATTCTTTCTCTGCTTTTCCTTTTCTCCTCCCAGCCTCTCCCCCTCCCCTTAATTTTAATTAATTTCTTTTGGACAGAGTTTGACCTAATAGAAAAAAATAGGCTGACAGACTTGGACTTAAACTCTGGTATCTTTTACTGAGGGACATGTTTTTACTCTCACAATCTTAGGCTCTTTTTATTCTTTAATGAAATAATAATTTATATACTGTAGTTTGTTCTGTGTTGCTATGAGAGGTTACCTATACTGGGTAATGCCTATAGGAAAAGGTTCATTTGACCCATGTTTCTTTGTAATTTGAAGGTACAAGCAGCACATCCCTGGTGCCATGGTAACGATCCACAGGCTGTGTCACAGTATAGCAGGAAAACAGAATGGGAAAGGGCCAAGCACACATCACAGCGGTGCTTTGTAGCAGTCTTCTCATATGGGACCTGACCCGTGGCTACAGGACCCATACATCTATAATTAATCCTTAATCTAGCTTAGTCCTTTTGTGAGCATCAAGTCCTCTCTGACTTACTTTGTCTGATTTCATAAAGCTTCCACTGTGTCAGAAGGTCAGCGTTTGAGGAAAAACCTATGCCATACTGTAGCACATACACTGTTAGTTGTTCAGGTTTGTAGTAGTGCTCGGTACTAGGTGGACACTCATTAAATCACAGCTATCACCACTGCCATCATTATTTTTTTTAATTTTTATTTTTTTAATGTTAGTTACAGTTTGTTAACTTTGTATCCCTGCTGTATCCTGCTCCCTCTTTCCCTCTCAATCCTACCCTCCTACCCTCATCTCCTCCCTGTCCCTTTCCAAGTCCACTGATAGGGGAGGTCCTCCTCCCCTTCCATCTGAGCCTAGCTTATCAGGTCTCATCAGGACTGGCTGCAGTGTCCTCCTCTGTGGCCTAACAAGGCTGCTCCTCCCTTGGGGTGGGGGGAAGGTCAAAGAGCCCGCCATTGAGTTCATGTCAGAAACAGTCCCTGTTACCCTTATTAGGGTACCCACTGAGATACCAAGGGATACATCTGAGCAGAGGTTCTAGGTTGCATCCATACATGGTCCTTGGTTGGAGAAACAGTCTCATAAAAGACTCCTGTGCCCAGATATATTTGGTAACAAAGACAAACACTACCTCAGAGTATAGGGCTGGAAAAATGTTTTTCAAGCAAATGGATCCAGAAAACAAGCTGGAGTAGCCATCCTAATATCTAATAAAATAGACTTTCAACCAAAATTAATCAAAAAGGATAAGGAGGGCACTATATTCTCATCAAAGGAAAAATCCACCAAGAGGACATCACAGTTTTGAACATCTGTGCCCCAAATACAAGAGCACCTACATTCATAAATGAAACATTATTAGAGCTTAAATCACACATTGATCCTAATACCTTAATATTGGGAGACTTCAACACCCCACTCTCACCAAGGCACAGATCAACTAGACAGAAACCACATAGGGAAATAAAAACACTTACAGAGACCCTAAATCAAATGGACCTAATAGACGTCTACAGCACTTTTCACCCAAACTCAAAAGAGTATACCTTCTTTTCAGCACCGCATGGAACCTTCTCCAAAATAGACCATATAGTTGGTCATTGCCATCATTATTACTAGCTCACATAGCAAAATGATTACATAGTGCCCTGCCTGTCCCAGATTAGTTCTAAGATACACATGGTAGGTATGTACACATTTAATTCTTGAAATGGTAGATGGTTATTCTCATATGGAAATATGGAGAAACCGAGACTCATACAGAGCTTAGCAAGCTGGCCATGCCACAGAGTCAGTGAAGGAGATGGGCTGTGAATCAGCAGTGTGCCTTCAGAAGGCTTGCTCTTATCTCTGACACAGTGTGGCTTCCATATTATTGTAGGTTCATCTTTTTTAATTTATGTTTTGTATGCAAGTTTCACCAGTTGATTAATTTGGAAAGGACCTTACTTTGGTAAAGAACTAAAGGTCGTATTTATTGGATTTTGGTATATAAGCTTTGACCAGTGATTCAGAATTAATTTCATTCCTTTATCTTCTCTAGAAATAAGTGATTGTGAGAAAGAAGGGAGACCTAAAAGGTCTATCCTATGCATCAGCTAAAACTGTTCTTAACATTGCTTTATCTCTGGGCTTGGATGATGGTCAGCATGAGGCTGTATATTTCTTTAATTAGTGTGTGTGTCCATGTGTGCTCAATGGAAGTTATAGAACAACTTGTGGGAGTCAGTCAGTTCTCTTTTGCCACCATGTGGGTTTTAGGGATGGAAGTCTTGTGAGACTTGGCAGCAAGAGCCTTTACCTACTGAGTCCTTTTGAGCATTCATGAGGGTGTATGTTTATTCTTTTTTATTAGAAACTGTGGAACCTGTCTACTGTTTGATTTTTAATCATTAAATATTTGCACGTTTGGATTGTATTTTCACTGTGAGACATTCAGGACTTAGTTATTTAGAGGATTTACACTTAGCACCCTTGGCTCACTGGTAAATGTAAAATGGTTGATTATTTATACTGTATCCTATGATTTTGCTTATCAGAAAAGTATTGATTAGTCAAGTTTTGTATCTGAAACCATCTGATGTAAAGAGTTTGAAATTACTATTAAGGGCTGTATTTCAGCCCTGGAGGTTACCTTTTTAAATTAAATCTGTGACAGTGACTCCTGAGCGTTGAGGTGCCTGTGCAGTGTTAGAAACTGCCTCTGAGTTTCAGAGTTTTGCCTTGCAACCTGTCTTTCATTTCATGAGAAGTAAGTAAGAGGAAGTGATTAATTTACTTCACAGATGTACTGGCTTTTGTACTATGTTCTCTTTCACAGGTTTGCGCTCATGAACCGGAAAGCCCTGGATGTGTTTGGTACTGGTGCATCTAGAGAGTTTCACAATTTCATCCCCAGACTAGACCCACGATACACAATTGTCACACCGGAGCTGCCCATAGACTTTTCCTGAAGATGACTATAACTTATTGACTGTGTCTCACCATTTTCTCCTGAAGAGTTATGTTCAACACAGAAGGGGCCCAAGCTGAACCTCAGTGTTACTTCAACAAGAGATGCTTTTTCTTTCTTTCCGTACCAATCAGAAATACAGAAGCTTTTTAGAAAGGTGTTGCTTAATAATTAAGCTTCCTCTGTAGCCAGAATCTCATTCTGGATCATGTAGTGTTGACATTATGATATATTGTTGATTAAATTATGTCCACAAAGAATATTGAATAATTTATGTAGAAATATAATAAGAGTATACTTAAAATTACTTTAAAAAGATGTCTTTAGTTCATTCCAATAGAATTCTTGTTCAAAGTAAGAATATTTCTACCCTTTAGGATTTACAAAGGATCACGGGTACTTGGATTCGATCTGTGATTTTTAAGCTTTTGAATGGATTTCTTTAGCTATGGGTGTTGGGGATGTGGAAAAACCTCCATGGGCATTGCTGCTTTAGTTTCAAGCAATGTGGAGAAAGTGGCCATTCTTATTTCAGGGATATAAACATGGGTTTTATACCATTTGGGCCAGTGTCACGTGGTATCCATGCGCTTTTGTTCAGCTGGTAGTCCTGTTTCTCTTTGTGAACAGATGGGCTGTTTGGCACCCTAGTGACCTTAAATGATATTAACACATTAGGAACACATGGAAACCAACATGTGCCGCAGTCAAGAATATGTTTCAGTGTTCACAGAAGTGTTACACTTGAATATTGTCAAGCAGACACTTAAAAGTCAATCTGTACACTTCCTAAGGCATATTGCGTTTATTTTCATATATAATGACCAAACTCTTTGTAGCTCAGTTTGAATGCCATTGGTGTTTTGGAAGGGTTAAGATCCTATAGAATGAAAGAGTTTGGGGCCAGTTTTGACAGGTGGTACCCTCTCGAATGTCTCACCTAAATGGGATGTTTTACAACTGAAAATGTGAAAATTTAGTAATTTCTGGGAGTTTGTGTCTCACTAAGTGGATTCTTGTTCCCCTGCTTCCTGTTCGTTAGCCAGTTCACTCTGGAGTTAAGGGACAAATGGCTAGTTGGTGCTGATTGTGGAAGCAGTCCTGGACAGCTAACTGAGATATGATCACTTGGTTTTTCTGGGGAAAGTTGGACTTTTCTAAGTTTGTAAAAGGCTAAGGTGGCCATGATGTCTGCAGTTAATGTAACATATAGGAATTGTGGCTAAATATATAATTTTGTTGCTAAAAAGATTTCAGGTCATTGTAAGTTATGCAGTAGAACTTGTGTTATGACAGGAATTGTAATCAAGACATTAAAAATACTTAATCTCCCATATTCAATTGCATCAAACCTCGTATAATTCTGTTTCTGTGTAATCCTATACTTGGTTGCTATGGTAAATTGATTTCCTACAAAGAGAAAGTCTAGTGCCATTATATAAAAGTCTCACTGTAGTTTGGTCAGAATTTTGCATTGTATTTTGTTTTCTAGAGTGGGCTTACCTATTTGGTAATATTGCTGAAAGGTCTTTTTGATTTTGGACTTCAGCACTTATTAATTAATGCAGTTTTAGGTGTTTATTCACTGGAATTGAACTGATTATTAGTGCTGTGTTTACTTTTGAAAATGAGGTATTAAAGCACTGAGAATGCCTGGCCACCCATACTTCATTTTCTCCTCTCCAATTTTATGTCTATTGCATTTTTTCCTGTCAGGTTAAAAAATCTATGTTAAGCCATAAGCTATTATTATCATTGACATTAAGAGACTGTGATAATGATTAAGCCTATTGAAATGTGCAAAAATGTTTAGTAAAATCTTGCTGGTCAAAAAGATGCATTCCTACGAGATATATTTTTAACAAATTACACTCACGTTTTTATTTCATGTAAAATATAGTAAGAAGCACCGCCAATAAGCAGAATGCATTGGAAGGATAGCTCACCTATTATAGAGACAGATTGAGAAGTACTATTTGAACTCATGAGAACAGTGTACTTGTTCAAGCAAACAGGAAGAAAACTTAGTGTTTCTAAAGACAGTGAAGATGAATACCTTTCTACCTCTAATCAGGTATTGACGGACAACCCCCTGTCATTGTAAATAAAGGCAAATAGATCTCTCCATTCCAAAACATGTTTTTATTTCCATTTTGATTTTTAATTCATTTCGATTCTGAACAGATGTCCTCAGCCAGCTTCTACCAGAACGGATTATCATAAATGATACTCTTTTCGTCTTCCCAGTGTCTTTGTGCAGAGTGAAAAGCAGTGCGTTTGGAGCATCCATGTAATGGTCATTTCATATGTTAGTAAAACTCTAGAACTGGGCTGGGAAGTTGAGATTGCACATGGAGAAATTATCTTGGATCTCTTTGTTTCTTACCACTTTTTTGGCATGTAGTCCATTCTGATCCTCATTTCCTAACCATCCCTGTTCCCATTTCTTTCTTTCCTTCGAAATGCTTTCTTTCGTTCTGTATTTTGGAAGGTGATCTCTAAACATAGATGTCATTCAGCAGCTGTCTTCTTTTCGTTTTACCCCTTGTTTAGATTACTGTAGTTAACTCGCAGTGTCATCCTTTTCTGTGCACTCAGAAGCTCTAACCCACCTTTAACTAGGATGTGGCCTTCTTATCTGTTAGAACTTGGACTGGGTGCTGTCATGCAGCTGTTCTCACACTTAGATGTGATCCCCGGAGACTGTGTCCCGGCTAACGTTTCATTTAGTTGACCATGTACCAGAAGCAGGTTTCTGCTTGGGATTTATAATATCCCCAAGTGGCTAGAGCCTGTGATAGTGTGTGAGTCCTGACATTGCTACCCTTAATTCACAAGAATTGCCTACTGGTCTATGCCATGGTCTTCCCTGGCTGGTGGTAGTTTAGTGGCCCGAAGAGAATTGTTCCTGGTATCCAGAAACCCAGCTGTTCTTGCTGCCTTTGGAACAGTAAAGCCACTAGCTCCAGGATTCAGTGAATTCTTCCTGTAGCTTCTTATTTATCTAAACAGCACTGAGTTTGTGCAGGTATGAAGTTGTTTCTTTGCTTCAAAAAGGGTAAAGTTTTCATTTCTGAATTGGAACCTAACTCTCTTTATAAGTTTTGTTCCCCCTAACATTTAGATCTGTTGCTTACCACGACATTCGTTTTCATTTCATGGAGAATTTCAAAAACTAAAGATGAGTAACTAAGAGAACAAATAAGAAACGGGGATAAGAAATGAGCAGTTAGTGTGAGGCTTTGAAAGTGATGAGCATGAGATCGGGGATGGAGATAACTCCAGATGATCTGTTGTTGTACAGGATCGTTTTGGAGATTCTGGGTTTTTTTGTTTCTCCATATGAAGCTGAGAATCTTTTTTTTCAAGTTCTGTAAAGAATTGAGTTGGTATTTTGATGGGAATTGCATTGAATCTGTAGATTGCTTTTGGCAGGATGGCCATTTTCACAATGTTAATCCTACCAATCCATGAGCACGGGAGATCTTTCCATCTTCTGAGATCTTCTTCGATTTCTTTCTTCAGAGACTTGAAGTTTTTCTCAAACAGGTCTTTCACTTGTTTGGTTAGAGTCACATCAAGGTACTTTATGTTATTAGTGGCTATTGTGAAGGGTGTTGTTTCCCTAATTTCTTTCTCAGCCTTTTTGTCTTTGGTGTACAGGAGGGCTTCTGATTTTTTTGAGTTGATTTTGTATCTTGCCACTTTGCTGAAGGTGTTTATCAGCTGAAGGAGTTCTCTGGTTGAATTTTTGGGGTCGCTCATGTATACTATCATATCATCTGCAAATAGTGACACTTTGACCTCTTCCTTTCCGATTTGTATCCCTTTGATCTCCTTTAGTTGTCTTATTGCTCTGGCTAGGACTTCAACTCCATCCCCGATCTCAAGCTGTACTACAGGGCAACAGTAATAAAAACTGCATGGTATTGGCATAGAAACAGAAAGGAGGATCAATGGAACCGCATAGAAGACCCAGAAATAAACCCACACACCTATGAATACTCGGTATTTGACAAAGAAGCCAAATCCATTCAATGGAAAAAAGACAGTATATTCAATAAATGGTGCTGGTCCAACTGGATGTCTACATGCAGAAAAATGAAAATAGATCCATATTTATCACCCTGCACAAAACTAAAGTCCAAGTGGATCAAGGACCTCAACATAAAACCAGATACTCTAAATCAGTTGGAAAAAAAAGTGGGGAACAGCCTAGAACTCATTGGCACAGGAGACAACTTCCTGAACAGAACACCAACAGCACAGGCTCTAAGAGCAACAATCAATAAATGGGACCTCATGAAACTGAAAAGCTTCTGTAAAGCAAAAGACACATTCATCAAAACAAAACGACTGCCTACAGATTGGGAAAGAATCTTCACCAACCCTTTATCTGACAGAGGGCTAATATCCAGTATATATGAAGAACTAAAGAAGCAGAAAAGCAACAAACCAAGTAATCCACTTAAAAAATGGGGAACAGAGCTAAACAGAGAATTCTCGAAAGAGGAACATCGAATGGCAGAGAAACACTTAAAGAATTGCTCAACCTCATTAGCCATTAGGGAAATGCAAATCAAAACGACCCTGAGATTTCACCTTACACCCATCAGAATGGCCAAGATGAAAAACTCAAGTGATAGCACATGCTGGAGAGGTTGTGGAGAAAAGGGAACCCTCCTCCATTGCTGGTGGGAATGTAAACTGGTTCAACCACTCTGGAAGTCAATCTGGCGCTTTCTCAGACAACTAGGAGTAGTGCTACCTCAAGACCCAGCTATACCACTCCTAGGTATATACCCAAAATTTGCTCAAGTACACAACAAGGACATTTGCTCAACCATGTTTGTAGCAGCTTTATTTGTAATAGCCAGAACTTGGAAACAACCCAGATGTCCATCAACAGAGGAATGGGTACAGAAATTGTGGTATTTTTACACAATGGAATACTACTCAGCAATCAAAAGGGAGGAAATCATGAAATTTGCAGGCAAATGGTGGGATCTAGAAAAGATCATTCTGAGTGAAGTATCCCAGAAGGAGAAAGACAAACTTGGTATATACTCGCTTATATAGACCTACAAGATATGATAAACATAATGAAATCTACACACCTAAAGAAGATAATCAAGAAAGTGGACATGGGTGAAGATGATCAATCCTCATTTAGAAAGACAAATGGGATGTGCATTGAATGTATGATAGGAGTCTACCACAAAAGGCATCTGAAAGACTCTACCTAGCAGTGTGTCAAAGCAGACACTAAGACTCATAACCAAACCCTCGGCAGAGTGCAGGGAATCATATGAAAGAAGGGGAGTTAGTATGATATGGAAAGGATAGGAACTCTACAAGTACCAAATATATCCGGGCACAGGGTCTTTTCTGAGACTGACACTCAACCAAGGACCATCTATGGATATAACCTAGAACTTCTGCTCGGATGTGGCCCGTGGTAGCTCAGTAACCAAGGTAGTTTTCCAAAGTAAGCGGAACAAGGACTATTTCTAACAGGATCTCAAGGGCAGGCTCTTTGACCTCCCCCCCACCCCCCAGGGGAGGAGCATTCCTGTTAGGCCACAGAGGAGGACTTTGCAGCCAGCCTTGAAGATACCTGATAAAACAGGGTCAAATGAAAGGGGAGGAGGTCCTCCCTCCCCAATCAGTGGACTTGGATAGGGGCAGGGAGGGAGTTGGGGAGGGGGAGGGAATGAGGGAGCAGGATACAGCTGGGACACAGAGTTAACAAATTGTAACTAAAAAGAAAAAGAAAAATTTAAAAAAAAAAGTGATGAGCAACAATGTAGAGAATAGGAGGGTATTCTTATATTTACTTGAACATCAGCCTTTCATGTGATAGCCCGTCACTGTTCGGTGCCACCTCTGAAACGTCTTCTTGTGGAGTTAACAACAGAAGAAGCGTCAGGGACTAAAGTGACCTTTACAAGGCTTTGCTTCTCTTTCCCATTGGAGCCTGTGGTGACTGTGTTTGCTCCACAGACAGAAAGAGGTATAGGCGCAAGGAGTAAATGCTGCTGATGCCTACATGTGACTTCTGAAAGCAGGGGTGGACAGGATCTTGGCCTTGATATGGCAAAGTACTAGGACTTTAGCAAGGCAGAGGACATTTCCTATGTAGCTGCTGTGGATGTGAAAGGTGATCCTCAACACTGACAGAAAGCCATAGCTGGAGGAAAGAATTCTGATCTGGTCTCAAGTTCTCTCCTGGTCCTTTTATGTGTTCTTTCTGTCTCTGTTTCATTGCTTTTTGCCTCTTATCACTTCTGTTTCTATGTCCCTTTTTCCTCCTTTCTCTCTCTCTCTCTTCCTCCCTCCCCCCCCATCCTACTCCTTTCATTTCTTCCCCCACTTAGTACGCTTTGTGTGTGTGTGTGTGTGTGTGTGTGAGGTGCTGAGGACTGAAGCCTGGGTTTTTGTGTGCTATGCAGGTGCTTTGCCGTGGAGCCTTAGAATCATTAGCCCTGACATCTGCCTCCCTTCTGCTTTTTCTCTGCTTGCTGATGTTACTCTTTCCTTCTTGGGCTCAAGGACTGCAGTGAGACCTTTGATGTTCAGCTGGTCCAGTTGGGAATACACATTTCTGGACACACTGATTGTTTTTTAAATGATATTGTACTTTTTGGGTAGGATGCTATGAGAGGCAACTACACAAATAAAATGAGATGTTTCTCTGTACCCAGGCTTTTGGTCCAGAACAGTCTCTTTTTGACAACCTCCTGACATTGCTTGACTCTGGAATGTTTTGTAGCTACAAAAAAAGTGGCCAGAATTATGTTTTACTTCTTTTGCTTTCTTGTTCTTTTCCTGTAAGT